CTACCTTATTTCACTTACTATGATCATCTCCATTTTCACCCATTCCCCAAAATGCAGCTTTTTGTAAACACCAGAGTCATTTCCTGGAAAATGTCCCCACAAACTAGTCTCAGGAAATGCTTGACAAATACTTGGCCCCTGAAAAGTCTTGAGACACATGCTGCAATCTTTAGCAGGATTGGCTAGGGAGGAAGTGGGCTGCATGAAACCGAAATGAACCAGGTGGTGAGTTAACTGCTGAAACTGCAATGGGGAGCATGGGTCTTAACCCTCTATTTATTTTGCACATTTAAAAATTCCATAATGAGAACAGTTAAGAGAGAACATCTTCTTACATTTTATCAAACATCATGTGGAGATAGATACTTAAGAGCTGAAATAATTGCCTAAATTTAGTAAGTGTAGGTTTATGCAACAGTGATGAGTTATTTTGATAACTCCAGCCAAAAACAATGAGGAGAGAGGGCTGGATATTATTACATCTGCTGGTTGCCTTGACAGTACAATAGTCTTTTCTCTAAAAGGTAAACAAACACACAGAAGAAATGAGAGCATTGTTCCAATCATCGAACTAAGGGTAAGACTACCTAATGTGGGGGAATATAGTTTAACTTATGTAAGAGATAGTTGTGGCTTGTTGTGACGGAGGTGAGGGACTGGGTTAACTTGTCTTCAAAGTTCACATATTAACTTCCCAGTATGATCATTGGTTTTGAACACAAATCATTGGCTTTGAACATTGCCATGGAACACAAAGCATAACAAACCTGACAAAAACAACTGTGGGATGGATAGAAGTCTCTTTGCAGTGTCTTCATTCATCTCCTCAGCACTCCCTTAAGTCAGTATTACATAGAGGAGAGACAACAACACCACAGCCAAAAATTAAATTGACTTCCTTCTCAAATAGAACCTGGTAGGTTTTCTCTTGCTTTGCTCACTCTGCTGACAAACTGGAGACAGACGTTAGTAAATGAAGCAGGTTTAGTCAAGACCAGCTTTGAGAAAACAAAATAGAAGGTTCTGTCCCAAACTGCCATCTGGGGAAAGGGATAGAGGTGTTAAGTAGTGAGGGCTTTGTGGTTAATTTTCATCATCAACCTGACTAGATCTAGGACGACCACGGAAACACACTTCTAGTGTTGCCAGAAGAGTAAACTGAACATGGAAAACATGGCGTACACCTAGGCAGCACCATTCCACCAGCTGCAGCCCCAGCGTTCATCTCCTCACCACTCCCCACCCTCCCACCATACAAGGACTCAGCCATGTTCATAGCAGCTTTATTCATAATAGCCAGAACCTGAAAACAACCCAGATGTTCCTCAACCGAAGATTGGATAAAGAAACTGGTACATTTACACAATGGAATACTACTCAGCCACTAAGAACAAGGTAATCATGAAATTTGCAGGCAAATGGATGGAAATAGAAAAGATCATCCTGAGTAAGGTAACCCAGATCCAGAAAGACACACATGGTATGTACTCACTTATAATCTGATTTTAGTCATATATTACAGGATAGACATACTATAATGTATAGACCCCAAGAAGATAAGTCTGGTGGACATCTTAGGCTTCATGTGGGCTCACTAGTTAGGGTGTTGTGTGCCTAGTTCACAAGACCCCACAGACCACCAGGAACTGACTCTGATGCAAATACACAAGGGTTTATCGCATATACAAGCTGGAGCTCAGGCAACAAAACTCCCTGACTTAGCAGGAAAGGAATACAGCTGCCAGCATTATGGGTTTTTAAAGGAAAAACCGAAAGCAGGTAATTTCCAATCCTTGGTTTATTTTAGGGACCAAGGCTATAACGGCCCTGGAGGATATCTGCTCATGAACAATGTCTGGGATGTCCTGTTATGTGCTGATTAGGCTACAGTTAGGGAAGGGGAGTGATTAATACATCTCAAGGTTTTTCTTAAAAGTAGAGATAGGGGCTATCTGGGTGGGAGACTGCCAGCCATCTGGTCTGGTTGCCAAGCAACAGTATCTCTCAAGGCATGGTACCTTTGTCTAAACTTGTACCAGAGACCTCAGCCATGCTGCCTTAAAATTCTAATTTTTAAACTTTGGACCTCTCAAGGGGAGTTGGAGCTATCTCTGACACAGACTGTGTTGCATGCTTTTTTATTTCCTCCGATGGGGCTTCCCTATCAGGCCTCATGTGAATAGATGAGCTGGGGGCTCCCCATTCTGAGACATAGAGGAGAGGAGGGACAGGCCTATGACCAAGATGTAAATTGAAGTAATTTCTTAAAAAAAAGAGAGAAGAAGAGGGAGGGGAGGAGGTGGAGAAGGAGGAGAAGGAGAGAAACAGAGAAAGAGACAGCGAGAGAGAGAGAGAACGAAAATGTCAGGATTTTTTAGGGAACAGTCTCTGGGGAAGGGGAAGCCCATCTCCTGGATGGAAAATTCAGGGGGGGGGGGTCAGCCACACCCTGCAACAAGTACCGACTGAAGAATACTGGGAGAACCTGGAGGCAAGGCCTGCTTTGATATGTTAAATAGGCACCTCAGCTGCTTGTCCTGGATCTGAAACCCAACACCTACATTCAAGGTGGGTCCTCCCACTTCCCTGAAGTTTCTCTGAAAATGTCCTCCTAGACCCACTCAGAGGTGTGTTTCCATGGTGGCTCTAAATGCAGTCAAGTTGGCAAGGATGAGTAACCATCACAGCACCCTTCTGAGTGAATTTTTTTCAAAAAGGAGGCAAAAGAGGCCTTGGATTCACCTTCAGTTCCATTGTTACAGAAGGGGAGAAACTGGGAAGTAATAGGTAAGCTATAATCTCACCACCAGCCCCCCAGACAGGATACCCCCAGGAAGGAGTCTGGTATGTAATCATTCTAACACCTCTAGTTGGGAAATTCTGAGTACAGCTATTAATAATAAATTTGGGGACAGAGAGAGTGGGCACATGGGGATACTTGGCAATGCTAGGAGCTTTTGAAGACCAGTTCAGCCTCCTGGACCATTGAGAAAGGCACTGTAAAGTGTGGCTCCTAGGATCGACTTCTTCCAGCCCTCTGCTGCAAAGCACTGTTATGCCCAGATCTTAAGGTCCCCAAAGACCACCAGGAGCCGGACACGTATGCAAGAGCAAAGAGCTTTATTGGGCTTAAGCTCAGTTTCTCCACCGTCACCAATGCAGTGGATCACAGAGGAGAGCCCTGAGCAGCTGCACAGTAGGGTTTTTATTGGTATTTGAAGAAGGACCTGGAATTTCTGGCTTTGCAGTTATGCGATTGGGTGACATTCAGCAAGGGCAAGCTTGTCACAAAGTGACTGGCTAACTAACATAACATTGAGCGAGCTATCTACAGACCTCAGGAATGTTAGGTAGGTGGGCTGCCCAGCACAGATGCCCCACTCTGAGATGAAACACCTCATTCTTGTGGTTATCCTCAGGCTGTTCCTTGGGTAGGGAATCTGATGACCTTGTTTCTGGAAATGGTGACCTATGGCCTAGTTCCTGCTGACCTTGGGGTGGGGTCACTAGTTCCTGGTGACTTTTGGTTGACCTTTGGGGTGTCCAGCCTGGTTCTCTCAGCATCTCTCCACAGATGACTTGCACTGCCAGCTCTGTTAAACCTAGCGTGTGAGGTTGTACGTCTAGTTCAGAGAGGTGTGTGGCCAGTCCTGTTTGACGGACACAATCCACAGATAATGGCTGTTATTTTTCTTAGGCCGGTGATCTGACTGCACACTTCCTGTTCTCCCTCTGCAAAAGGGATTCCCCCCCCCCCCCCCAGGCATTTCTGGTGCTCTACCCCTCTCTCTGTCCAGGGGACACTCTGGACTGAAGCACCTCACAGTCCCACTTGATGGCATTCATTTCTCCTTTCTTTCAGGACTTCTCCTCTGAGCTGGGAGGTGGACATGCCCCCATTTCCCCTTACAGCCCACACTTAACACCTGAGGGGCTTTTACTACCTGCCAGGCATTTCTGAGTTCCTGGCAAGGTCAGTTAGTCCTACTGAGAGGTCAAAAGGCCTAGATTACAATTCTGCTCACGGATCTGCTTGGAGAGTGAGGGAAAAGTGTACCATATTTTAAATGTTTTTTTTTTTTTTAAAAGATTTTATTTATTTATTTTATGTATGCGTGTTCTACCTGAAGAGGGCATCAGATTCCAGTCAGTATAGATGGTTGTAAGCCACCATGTGGTTGCTGGGAATGAAAATCAGGACTTCTGGAGGAGGAGACAGTGCTCTTATCCGCTGAGCAATCTTTCCAGCCCTGTTTTAAAGACCAACAAGTCATAGGTTCTCAGCAAACATTTGCTGAATAAACACTAGCCAGGAAAAGAAAGAAATGCCATGTATGTTATTGCAGATTTTTATTTTAAAACAGTGGATAAGGCAATCGCTACTCGCAAGCACGGCTCAATTCTTGTCACCTGGGGAACACTCTTACTTGGAGACAACTTCCGAAGGGTAAACTTGAGAAACTGGCTACACAGCAGGAGGTGTGACACAACGGCACGTGGGGAGCGCCTCAGGCCGGGCTTGGGTCCTCAAGGCGTGGCTCCAGGAACCCCTGCAGGAATCTCCTGCACCCCGCAACCCGCGCAGCCTTCTGCCAACTCAATTTTTTCCCCCTGGCCAGGGTGGCAGCTTCGGTCGCCTCTCGTCGCCCCACCGGCAGGGGGCGCCCTAGGCACCGTCAGTTGGGAAGTGTGCGCTTGCAAGCTACTGGAAGCCAGAGCCTGTTTTTTCCAGTATGAGCCAGATGGGCGTCTGTTCCGGGCCTGGCTGGGCCTAAAGAAGAGCGGAGCGCCCGGAATTCTCTCGAAGCGACCTAGGACAGGACGGGGCGGGGTGGGCGGAGGGGGCTGGAGGTGAGCACAGCGGGGCCCCGCCCCTTGAGGGGGCTCACCTGGGGCGGGCGGGGCGGAGTGGGCGGGGCGAGCGGAGGTCCTGGAGCGCGGCCCCGCCCCCGGGCGGTCACGTGGGCGGGCGGCCCGGAGCGGCTCGGGCTTCGCGGGCGCCGGGGAGTGCCGCGGGCTGAGGTGAGCGCGCGGCTCGCGGAGGGCCCGGCCTGTGACGTCACAGGGAGGCTTCCCTTCCTAGAACTCGGGGTGACGCCGCGGAGCGCTGCGACTCCGGAGGACGTCCGGCGTCCGTCCCTCGCGCGGCGGTTCAGAGCGGGTGAGGAGGTGGGTGTGCGGCGTTCCCCGCCGACTTGCCCGCACGCGCCGGGGCGCTCCCGGTGACAGCGACTGAGCCGTGCGGGGCGCGCGGTCCCCGAGCGCGGCGGCCGGGGAGCGGGGCTGGAGCCAGCAGTGGCCGAGCCGCGGCGGCCCCACCGCGGCCGCCACCGCACCCACCGGCCCCCTGGAAGGGGACGGAAACGCGCCCGCGTCGTCTGCAGCTTGTGCAGCTGATCTGACTTCAGGGCGTTGCTGCTCGGATCCCAGACGTAGGGAAGACCCGCGAGAACGGGGACACTCGAAAGGTGGTTCTGCGTGTGGCGTACACTTAACCCGGGCACACACTGGCGTGCCCCGTGCCTGGCGTTTCTTTGGGAATCGGGTTTTCAAAGGTACCGCGGTTGGCGTCGGTGAGAATTGCAGGGACGGGAAACCCGCAAGGTAAAATGAGAGTCTTAGCGGAGCGAAACGACGAGTGGAGCTTGACAGTGTCCTGGTTTCGGAGCGCCCTGGAATTTGAGGAAATCTTTTTAGTGTCAGAAAGGCTGTCATAAGTACATCTAAAAAATTTAACCGCCGCCTCCCTGTGTGTGTGTCTGTGTGTCTCTGTGGGTCTGTCCAGACTCCCTTGTGCACATGGAGGTCAGAGGACAACTTTCGGGAATAGTCTGTCTGTCATGTGTGGTTGCAACTCAGGTGTTCTGGCTTAGTGGCAAGACCCCTGAGCCCCTGAGCCATCTGGCCGGCTCCATAATTACATTATTTAAAAACTGATCTTTTACAAGGATTTGCTTTAGTTTGGTGGTGCTGGAGAGCAGAGAGGTTAAGAGCCAAAGATGGATGTCAGGCATATGCTGGATATTTCCCTTTCAAGGTTGCAGCACTGCCTTTTTTCCCCCCAGAAGGGAAGGTCCGCACCACAGGCGATTATAGTTTCAAAACCTTTCATATATATCGTTTTTCATAAATTGGATGTGAATACTGCCTCATCAGATGGGTCATAAAAGATCACAGTCTCTGCCTTTTTCTGTCACACACACACACAAACACACAAACACACACACACACACACACACACACGAAGGCACAGGTGTTAAGTGGATCAAGTTGATGCAGGTGAGTGCTGGCTCAGCTTTTTCTGAGAGAACACACACACACACACACACACACACACACACACACACACACACACCGTTAGCAAACCTGGGGGTTAGGCTGCCTCTAGTCAGGCGGTTTGTATCAAATGTGTTAGCATTTTTTTTTTTTGCAACGGCTCAAATCCCTTCTAAGTTACAGTCAGCAGAAAAACAGGCTGGGGCTTCCGGTGCAGCTCAGCAATAGAGCATTTGCCTGGCATACTCTAGGGCCTGGTTGGGTCTCCAAGACCCCTTAACCCCCCGAAAAAGACCAGAGTAGTGAACATACATGTGGTCTACTTGGGATCATATACACTTCTGGAACATTCTGTATGTCAAAAGTTTATGTAATGATGAAGCCAGTGTAAGATGGCTGGGGATGTACTTAATTGCTTCCAGGATCATAAAACAAATATCCAGAAAAGAGCTGACTCCTACAATGGCATGGTCCATGCCATTCATTTCTTATCTGTGTGGAGAGATACTTATGTTCATCTAACTTAATTATTTTTCTTAATATTTTGTCCTGTAATTCTTAACGTGTTCTGCCATGCTTGACCGGCAGGTTGTGAAAGTGTAGATTCCAAGAGGAAACGGTTGAAGTGTGGTAAATACAGAAAGAAGATAGACTCCTGGAAGATGAACCTACATCCTTGTAACTTCACTGTAGCTGAACTTAATATTCCTTTGGTTTAAAGAAGGCAGCACACAAACTCTGCCTGTGACAATTGATTGTGGAAGTGCTAGACAAATCACCTCAAAGGGAACTATGAGAGAGTTTTGTTTTGTTTTGTTTTGTTTTAGTCAAATATAAATGAATATGGCCTGGGAACACAGATTCAGTTGGCCCAAATAACACATCCTAATGCGAATGATGTTCATGATTAGTTTTATAGTCATAGAACAAAAGAAAGTCATAAATTAAGCCACTTAAAAATATACATTGAGGAGCTGGCAGTGGTAGCCCACGCCTTTGAGCCCAGCACTCAGGAGGCAGAGACAGGTGGATCTTTGAGTTTGAGGCCAGGCTTATCTCAGGACAGCCAGGGTTTTGTTATGCAGAGAAACACTGCCTCGAAAAACCAATACACACATGCACACACACAGTTATACACATTGATGGAAATATCAGGTAGGCTATCACAGCAAACAGGGGAAAGCAAACTACAGGTCCCAGATGCTGTCTGATACACCCTTAGCTCTTGTAGTAGAAACTAGTGGTCTACTAATTTAATACATTCCAAAGGGTTTTACTTGAGAGTCACAGGATGTTCGGTCAGACAGAAGTGGGCAGGGAGTGGTTATTAAGGGGACTAAAGAGGGCCCAAAATGGTCTGGTTCTAGATCTACAACATTCTAGCTCTCCACAGTCCCAGAGTTCTAATCAGTGAAACCATATACATTTATGGTGGGTTTTTTGTTGTTTTCCTTCTGGGAATTATGTTCAGAGTATCTCAGTAAAATTGTTTGGTATGTGGTTCAGTTTTCATTGTATGAATAAAAGAAATATGCAGTGGTTGCCAGGCACTTCACTACCTTAGTTTCCAAGAAATTAGGAAAACAAAATTGACAAATTCATTTACAGTTTTGCCAAAATGAGGTGGGAGGCATGTTTGAGTTTTTATCCCCACTGCTTGTGACTACCCTAGTTTATGGAAGGCTAGGATATAAAGGCGAGAACATATGGACAGTAACCATAAGCTAAGTAATTCTTTCCTATGGGGAAGGAGACCTCTGCCACAGGTCTCCTTATTGTCTCTGTCCTCAGTTACCTTGTGATAAAAATGGGCCCTTAAATGGTCCCCATTTTTTAAAGAGAAGAGATGCAGTGATTTGGTGAGGTAATATCCTAACCCATTTCTGGTCTTTTGGAATGCTTTGTCAATAGTCTTATTTCCTTGTTATATAGAAAGTAGCCTTTTTTTTTTTCACAGTTCTATCAACAGGATTAGCAAATTATACTCATGCAGAGGAAAATATCGATAAACTACATAATACTAAATAATGTGTACAATATAGATACATCTTAAAAGCATTATGTCGAGAAATTGGTTGGTCACTCCCAAAGCGTTTGTGCCACTGTTGTGTCAGTGGGCATAGCTAGTCAGACAATTTATGACTGTAGTTTTCAGGGTTCATAGTTGGATGAGCTTGAACTTCTGGGTGTATGCATAGTACTTTCCAGTGATATGAAAGCTAGCCAGTTGAGGTGAAGTTTCCAGCTGAGTACCAGCTAGATTTCCCCATGTTCTATGACTCAGGCATGTAGTGTTTTCAACAGTAGATCTTATATCAGTTTCGAAGGGTATTCAATAGCCTTGGCAATAGCTGGTACTGTTGGGAGATCTATGGAACTCCATTGACCAATTCAGAGGAACCTTTTGTATCTTTTCTTTGGAGATCAAGCTCAGGATCCTTAAAGCCTGTTAAGCATGCTATTTTGTTGTTTTGGTTTTTTGAGAGAGGGTTTCTCTGTGTAGCCTTGGCTGACCTAGTCTCACTTTGTAGATCAGGCTGGCCTCAAACTCAGACAGATCCACCTGCCTCTGCCTCCCCAAGTGCTGGGATTACAGGCCTGTTCCACCTGGCCCAGCTCACACTAATGTCTTAGAAGAAGAAGATAATAGCAGATATAACAGCACTCAGATAGCCTGGGGACTCAAGTGTCTCTCTAACATGAAATCAGTTACATAGCTTTTCCAACTTACTGTTCTCCCTAGTCCTCTAAAATAAGATGTTGTAGAGCGAGAAATCTGCCAAATTTGTAAGTGTTGAGGCTAGCTGGCCAGATGCTTCCTCTTTTCTGATAAAGGAAAGTGCTAAAAGCCATTATAAAGAATTACCATAAATGTGATACTATCTTTACCCGGATTTGTGTGTCTAAAGGGGAGAAAACCATTAGAAAGGCAAATTGCACCCTTGATGGCCTAGAAAAGAGAGGAGAGGGATGGCAGGCAAGTCAGCAGCATTTACATCTCCATGTTTTAACACATGACTCAGAGCTGTCTTACCGCTTCCCTCCTGTGAGTGTGATGGAGAGGTGTTTTGGCTTTCAGTAAAGGTCTAAGGGAGCCAAAAGTTGGCTTCAAGTCATTTTTTCCTTTTTCTTTTATAGATTTATGTGTGTGTGTGTGTGTGTGATATGTGTACGGGTGCCTGAAGGGGTCACAAGAGGGTGTTGGATCTCCTGGAGCTGGAATTACAGATGATTGTGAGCTACAAAACAAGGCTATGAGAACCAAACTTGGGTCCTCTGCAAGAGCAGCAAGCACTTTTAAGCTCTGAGCCAGCTCTTCTCTGTTGTTTCTCTGATGAAGGTCCATGTAACCAGGCTAGCCTCAAACTCTGCCTGGACCTGGGATGGCCTTGTGCTGCTGCCACACTTGCTCCACCTCCTCCTGTGATTCCTGCTCCTGGTTTTATACAGTTCTGGAGATCCAACCCATAGGGTCCTCATGGCAGGCAAGAACTCTACCAGTGGAGCTAAGTTCTCAGCCTCTTAAGGCATTTTTTTTTTAAGTGTGGAAGAAGAAAAATTTAAGAGTCTGTATTAGTCTTTTTATTCATTATACACTTTTTAATTTTTGGACAGGATTTTGCTTTGTAGTCCAGGAATTCACTGTATAGCCCAAGCTAGCCTCAACCCTCCTTCCTCGGCCTGCTGAGTGCTAGGATTACAGGCATGAATCATATTGCCTGGCTTCACATATGTTGCTATGGAGGTGGGATGATCATGTGTATACACACTGGCGTGCTCACCTGCTCATGTGACTCTGGAGGCCAAAGGTTCCTTTGTCATTTTCCACCTTGTTTTTTGAGAGAACTTGAAGCTCACCATTTCAGCTAGGCTAGCAAGCTCGAAAGCCTCCA